GCACCTGACCTACCGTATCCGATCCAAAGGTCCCTCTCGCAACATTACCATTAAGGCGGCTCTAAACGATTGGATTTTTCATGCATTTAGACCAATAAGCTGGCGAAAAATACACATACTTCTAGTAGTCCAATTTCAATTTTGAATACTTATTTGGATTCGTTAGCCTCTTTTCTATGATCTGTAGGAAAAACTTTTTCATCTTTTTGTCTAGTTAGCACTTAAAAGTGCAAGTTAAATTTGAGAAATCAAGCAGTCATTTGGAACCATAATATACGTAAATTATCTAAAATATCCAAAATCGGTTTCCTACAAATCATAGAAAAGAGGCTGACGAATTCAAATAATTTTTCAAAATTGAAATTGGACTACTAGAAGTATGTGTATTTTTCGCCAGCTTATTAGCATTTTTCACTGTTGTGAGTGTACAAAAATATTTTTCGAGACTGAATACGTTGACTTGTGCATGCGCGTACGTGTGTTATTGAACCGTGTGCCCGCAGCCGGGCGATATAAAATCTATTGTTATCGAGTTCGAATTTCTTCGAATTTCACACTAATAATCATTTACGACTAACACATAGATTACGGGCGGCGACGACAAGATTAGAAATTGCCTAAATTGTTCCCCTTAAATAATAGCCACTAAGAGCCGCCTTTTACTAATTAGAAATGAATTACTCGCTTTCATCGCCGGTCGGTGAAATAGCCGCACGAATCACACAGCAGTACCCTGTAGGTACCCAGTATATTTTAATGTACCTAGGCGCAATTGGGGGGGGGGCTGGAGGGGCTAAGCCCCCACTAAACATTTAAAGACCCCCCGGAAAACCATACAGAACCTTATATCATCATATTGCTAAATAAAAAAAAATATATGTGATAACTAATGAAAAAAAAATTATAAAATACATTTTTTTAATTTTATTTTAGGAACACAATATTATAGCGAGCACCTAGTAGGTATATGATCTATGAGCTCGCCGCAAATGATTCGTGATGAAATATTTTCCCCGAACCCCGACTATATATATTTTATATTATATAGCTTCTATTCTCGGCGACCTCGGTCGTACGGTCGTTACGCGAGTGCCTGCACTTGATAAGGATGATAACTTTAAAAAGCGCATTTTTTATATAGATGAGGAAGGGTGGAAAAAAAGTTTCTGAGAGGCAGTGATCGAAAAATATATGGAGGGGCTGAAGCCCCCCAAATTTTTTACTCTAATGCACCTGTGGTACCTAATCAGATTAATTAGAATCAGTCGAATAAAAATCCAGACCGTCGTTCCTATGTATCTATAGTATCCCAGCCGTCAAGAAAAGCGGAGTAAAACTGAAAAATAATGAAACGATTACGCACACTGCAACACCATAATAATCATCGTGTTTGAAATGATTGTTGGCTGTATGGATAAAATATTATTTTCAGAAACAAAAATGATCAAATTTTTTTGTCAAGATATAGGTACCCAAAACCCAAGAAGTGCCGAGTGGCATATATTTCAACATCGTGATTAAATTACAACAGTAAGCACGTTAGTGGTAGCATTATTGATTATAAATGGTACTACTTATACACATATACCTATTGAGTAATTAACATGAATTAATGTTTATCATGCTTTATATAGGAACAGAACATTTTTATTAAATTGTCAACATGTTTTTACTTTTTTTTCGTTCAATCCCGTCCACCAGTCCGACGAAATAATCCGGTATGAGGCGGAAGAAAAAAATTGTACTTCTTAATAATAATTATTGATTTTACATAAATGTTTAAATTATAATGAGCGCATATTAGAGTCATTAGCGTGTGCCGAATGCCAAATGAACACAGTTCAACATACTACTCCAGACTACTATGAATATAGTATGAGTAGAGTCCAGAATTATGCATTTAAAAATGTCTATATAATTAAAATATTACGTAAAGAAAAATTGACTAAATATATACCTAACTATAGAATATCATATTCATTATATTTATCATGGAAATTATACAGATAAGTTCTAATGTTCATGTATCATGATATTTATATTTGATATACAATATCGGGTAAGACCACTCCGTAAAAGATTATTTAAATTATTATTATTATTACTTTTACAACAGGAATCAATGTATAGACATACCAGAGTTTATTTTATCATTTATACTAGGTATTATGAAAAACTCAAATAATTAAACCTAAAACAAACTTTTAACAGACTCGAATATTAAGGTGTAATATTGCAAAGCGAATCAATCACTATTAATGAATATTAAACAATATATTTTTAATTGTTAACAGTATAATAGTATATGCATATTGTATTATTGTAACTAACATATCGTTAGTTTAACCATACATGCAATTGATTTTTAAATTTTTAATTTAATTACAGTTGGAAATTACTAAATTTAAATCAAAACCAAATTGTTGTATTAAGTAGGCACCTGTATCTATATGGCTATATATTAAATAAGTACAAATTAAGTCGTTTTACAAAGAAAACTCATATAAGTCCGTATAACTTAGTATATCCAGGCACGGACTAGCTGGGATGCTGTGATGCTAGTATCCCTTGACTTAAAATATATTTTCCTAATATTTTTTATTATATATTTAAAGACTCTAGACACCTAATGAACAACAGATAACAGTAAGTTACCAACTACTAATTATTAGCAATCTATAATATTGTAGAATTTTCATTGAAAGTTTGTTGTAACTTGGTACCTATAATTGACGTTTTTAACGTATATTCAATATATTTTTAAAACAAAATAAAATATATTAATATTTTAAAACTAATCTACATGTTTTAAATTTTTCCCAAACATTTTTATTATTTGCCCTTTAAATTGTGTAGCATCCCGTACCCTAAATTACCAGTCCGCGTCTGAGTATATCTTAGTCCGTCCGTCCG